AGTAAGTGGACAGAATGTGGAGCAGCCTTTTTCTGCATGGGTTGTCTGAAAATTTGTTCCATTTAATCAACCCTGTGGAACGCAGCCTGTTAGGGACTTAACCTTGATAAGGTAAGAACCACATTGGTATAGTGAGGAGGTTTTTAAAGGAGAAATCTGTCTTCTTCCTCCACCTTTGCCATTTAACTAGCAGGTAGCCTTGAATAAACTTCATTCTTGTTTGTAAATGAGATTGTGCAAATGAGGTACAGCTTTGGGGTAGGCTTTGGGGCAATAAAAAAGCACTTTTAAAAGTTAATAATTCGGGGCTGGGGATGTGGCTCAAGCGGTAGTGCGCTCACCTGGCATGCGTGCGGCCCGGGTTCGATCCTCAGCACCACATACAAACAAAGATGTTGTGTCTGCCGAAAACTAAAAAATAAATATTAAAATTCTCTCTCTCTCTAAAAAAAGTTAATAATTCATATTTGTATGTATTTTTTAGTACTGGAAGGCCCACACACATGTGCTCTACCACTGAGCTTGCACCCCCTCTTCCCCAGCTGAGTTATACTTCTTAGAGTCTCTCCTAAGGAATTAACTCTAAATATAGAAGAACATTGTACACAGCGATATTCCTTGCAATATTGATTATTTAATGGTTCAAAACATTTGTGAATGACATAAATGGCCAACAAAGGGTGACTGATTATGCACTTGGTGGGATTTTCATGTAATTTAAAACTCTTCAGAAACTAGATAATAATATTGGAAATAGTCATACAATTTTGAGAAATGTTAAATAATTTTTTAATGTGTATGTATTATATTTAAAAACAAAAATGAAGAAACAAAATCAAAGGGATTTACCCTAGAAGTGCATTTGGTTTCTGGCTCTTATACTTTGTGATTAAGTTAACATTGAAGTTATATAGTACGACACCCTACTTTTTCTAAGTATTCCATCCTGATTTAACTTATTTTTATAAACAAGCCAGGTGGTACTCCATTGTGAGGCATTTTTACTGGAGGATGAGCCACACTTGTGGTGACTTGGAGGCCACCTTCTGTATTTTGCCTGTTTATTCTAGCTTTCTTCCTCTGCTAATCTACTTCCATCAGGTCACAGTTCTGATCTGATTTTTATGTGATGTGCAAAGAATTCTACCTCTCTATAGAAAAGTTACAAGTCAAATTATTAATCTGATTGCTATAAAATAGCAATCAGATTAATAATTTTTTTCAGAAGAAATGACCTCCTTGTTTTTTAAAATTCTGATTAGTTATACACGATAGCAGAATGCATGTCAATTCATTGTACACAACTGGAGCACAACCTTTTCTCCGGATGTACATGATGTAGAGTCGTACCACATATGCAGTCATACATGTACCTAGGGTAATGATGTTCATCTCATTCCACCGTCTTTCCTATTCCCATGCCCCCTCTCCTTTTCCTTGGCTCTCTCCTCTCTCCTCTCCTCAAAATTGCTTCATTCTCCCCCTACGCCATGCCCCTCCCCTATCCATTAAGGGTCTGTATCTACTTATCAGCGAGAACATTCGCTTTTGTTTTTTTGGAATTGGCTTACTTCGCTTAGTATGATATTCTCCAACTCCATCTGTTTACCTGCAAATGCCATAATCTTATTCTGTTTTAGTGTTGAGTAATAGTCCATTGTGTATATGTATCACAGTTTCTTTATCCATTCATCTATTGAAGAGCATCTAGGTTGCTTCCTTTTTTTTTTTTTTTGAATTTTAATCTGATAATTTCAGAGAAGAACCTAACTACTTCCTACATCTCCAGCCCTTTTATTTTGAGACAGGATCTGTGTTGCTGAGGGTCTTGCTGGTAACTCTTTCTGGCACTGATTCAAGACAAAATATCTATTGTGCCTTTTACCATAGTCTTCCCTACATATTCACATTTTGAGAAAAAAAAATAATTTTTTCTTTGTGTGTTTATATGCTGGAGGGCTGTTTTTGGCTTAGACTATCATTCAGGTTAATAGGAACCTGGATTGTCCCCTGAGATGTGGGGTTGCCAGCAGTTGTTTGCTAGAATGAATTTATCCACATCTTTTTTAGCAGTAAAATATTGGAAAGAAAATTATATGATACATGTCCTTGGATTACTGCTGTTTTTCTTACCAACAACTGCCATTGTTTTAATACTGCCCTTCTGGTCTTTAGGCTCTTGAAGAGGGATAGTTCAGATTTTGTAGCTGGTGCAAATTGTTATATAATTTAGTTACTCTGGCAGCTCCTCTGGAAAACTTGTTTCTTTTCCCTCCCCTTTCTGACTTTGGGTATAGGAACAACTAGAAAAGTATCAGTTTATTCACAGGTCTATCCAGCCTTTATTAAAGTACCTACCAGTAGCCAGCTTCAGCAACTTAATGACACCTTATCTCAAAGTTAAAATGGTTGAGCCGGGGTGGAGTGGAGGGTGTGGTGGTGCACACCTGTAATCCCAGCGGTTTGGGAGGCTGAAGCAGGAGGATCACAAGTTCAAAGCCAGCCTCAGTAGTGTAGCAAGGGCTTAAGCAACTTAATGAGACTGTGTCTCAAAATTTTTAAAAAGGGCTGGGGATGTGTCTCAGTGGTTAAGTGCCCCTAGGTTAAATCACCGTGTTTCAGGCAGTATACTAGCTGCCTTAAGGGTAAAATAGATTTGAAAATGAAATTGAGTAACTGTTCTATAGAATTTGAGAAAAGTATGGAAGTTGTTGCTTTTCTTTAAGATTCTGAACGTTTTTTTCAATTTGAAAAGGTAGAATTGATAAAGGAAATTGAATTCTGAATTTAAGTGTAACAACTTATAATGAAAGTTTGATGAATTCATATTCTATAGTCCTATAATTTATTAATACAAAGAATATGTAAAACAGAAATGGAATAATAAATGGATTTACATGTTATTTGGCCTGTATTTCTATTGGCTCGTTGGTGTTTTACAAATTTTTGTGAAGGCGGAGATTATGACATGTTTAGATTTTTCTTTTCAGTTTTATTTGCTTTATAATTTAAAATTCTAGAGCTGGGGATATATGTGGCTCAGTGGTAGAGAGTGCTTGCTCCAGTCCCCAGCACTGCAAAAACAAAAACAGGGAACATCTGTGTATCAGTAAACATTATAAATGTTTCATTTTTATGTGGCAGTAATTATTATTATTATATTTTTTTTTGGTGGAGATTGAACCCAAGGCTTAGCACATGGTAGGCAAGCAAGCATTCTACCATTGAGCCACTTGAGTTTTTTTCATTTGGCTTTCAAAGTTTTATTATAGTGGTCAAACAGACCGAAGTCAAAACACAGTGTTTTGGAAACATTTTTCCTAGTATGGTAAAGAATGTGAGGATAATATTAACCTTATAAAATTTGAGTGGAATTTTTTTTTAATTAGGGGTTTATTTATTTATTTAAAATAGAATGCATTTTGACATGAAGTTCACAAATGGAGCACATCTCATTCCTCTGGCTATACATGGTTCAGAGTCATTCCACTATTATAATCATACATGTATATAAGGTTTGTCTCTTTCTACTGTTCTTCCCATCCCCACAGCCCCACCCCTCACCTGACTCTCCTCGACACAAACCAAAGTTCCTTCATTCTTCCCTAAATTAGGAGTTCTTAATCTGGGTTTCATAAAGTCAATGAAATGTCTGAAATTATTTGTAAAATTTAAGTGTGTGAACATTTTTCTGCAGAACAGTCTATAGCTTTTCTCAGATATTCATAGGATAATGTGGCTTAAAAAGTGGTTTAAAACCATTGCTATAAAGGAATTTTAGTTACCTACATTTCTGTTGTTAGAAAATAGATAGGTGTTGGGGCTGGGCTCAGTGGTAGAGCACCAGCTGTGGCTCAGTGGTAGAGCACCCGTCTGGCGTGCTTGGGACACCGAGTTCAATCCTCAGCACCACATAAAAATAAAATAGTAAAATAAAGATGTTGTGCCCACCTATAACTAAAAAATAAATATTTAAAAAAATAGATAGGTGTACCTAAACCTTCCTTTGTTTTATCTTAGGCTTTTCTGAATATTTGAGTGGAAAAGATAAAGTTTTGTTTTCTTTCCTCTTTACAATCTTTCTTTTTCTGCCTTTAAAATCACCTTCAAGAATTGTTTACTGCTTCCATAAGAATTTCTTTCAGTATTTTAGCTAATTGTCTGTTTTGATAATCCTTAAGCCACCTCAAAATCTGAACTGAGAACTGAGAAATTCACTGTTTGGATTCTGAATTCTGAAACTGAAAAAGAACATAAGCAACAGGCAGGAGATTTTGAACAGTTAGAATGGTGGTTTCAGTCATACTTTTTTTTTTTTTTTTTAAGAACTTCTTCAGGGAGTAACATAAGGGTTCAGGAAAGAGTCTGCCATTCATGAGATAGTAAGGATATGGAGAGTCAGTGGCTCTACTGGTGTAGCAGAGGAAAGTGAAAGTAGAAAAGATGGCATTGGTGATCAGGCATTTCCTAAGTTCTCTGCCTTGCAGATTTTTTTTTTCTTTCTTTCTTTCTTTTTTTTTTTTTTTTGGTACTGGGGATCAACCCAGGGTCACTTTACCACTGAGCTGCATCTTTAGCTACTCCCCCAACCACCACCTTTAAATTTTGAGACAGGGTCTTGGTAAGCTGCTGATGCTAACCTGGAACTTGTGATCCTCCTCTCTTAGCTGCCAGAGTTGCTGACTACTGTACCTGGCTCTGTTTCATAGATCTGAATGGTTCATGGCTCTTTGTGGAAATGGGTCTTAAAAGAGTTGCTAGGACTGAGTGTGTAGCTGAGTGGCAGATCTCTTGTCTAACAAGGTTTTTGTGAGGCCCTGGGTTCAATCTCCAGCATTGCAACAGACAAAAAAAACAAACTAAAAAACCAACAAAAACCAGAGAGTGTTGATATACTGAATTTAAACTTCAGAGAAAGTGGAAGTTAAGCATAAACTTTCTTAAGAAAGATTTCTGACTTGCCTTCTCTTTTTTCATGTGCTCTCCTGCTTTTTGTGCAGGTGGATGGAAGCATGCCTAGGAGAGGATTTGCCACCCACCACAGAACTGGAGGAAGGGCTTCGGAATGGGGTCTACCTTGCCAAACTAGGAAACTTCTTCTCTCCGAAAGTGGTGTCTTTGAAAAAAATCTATGATCGAGAGCAGACCAGATACAAGGTGAGTTCTACTTTGCTTGGTGCTTAGATTTTTCTATAAAGTTGAGAAAGAAGGCTAGCAAACTGTATTCTGAGAGCAGTTGAGAAGTATGTGTAAGATGTGTTTGCTCCAATAAAGTATGGCCTTTAAAATACCTGGAAGAAAGGAGGAAATAGTGCAAAAGAAATATATAGTAGTAAAAGAACTTTGTCTCTCTGTGTTTCTGTTAGAATTCTCTTTTTGGTGCTAGGAATTGAACCTGTGTCTTCACTCATGCTGGACAAGCACTCTACCACTGAGCTATATACCCTGGCTCCAGTAGAATTCTTATGTTGCAGTGTGTCCAGAAATTTTCATAATCCTAATCCTAGATGAAATTTTTCATTCTTGGAAAGTAGAGGAAGTAATTAGGGGAATTACTTTTATTTATTTAGGTACCAGGGATTGAACCCAGGGGCACTTAACAACTGAACCACATCTCTAGCCCTTATTTATTTATTTATTTATTTTAATTTTGAAACATGGCCTTTCTTAGGCTGGCTTTGGACTTGCAATCCTCCTGTCTCAGCCTCCCTAGCCACTGGTGGTATTACAGGTATGTACCACTGTGCCCAGCAGGAAATTACTCTTTAAATCTAATTTTAACCAAGTGCTGAGATTTATTGGCAAATAGAAATCCATAGCAACTTCAGGCAAAAGCATTACTCTGTAATATCCGATAATATGCAAGATTAAATGCAAAAATGACTCAATTTCAGAAAATTAAAATTAATAAAATGGTTTGATTTCTGTGACTCAGGGCCCTGAAAAAGACTATTAAACTAAATTGGAATGTTGACAAGGAGCAAATTTTGTTGTCTACAGAACTCCTAAAGGGACTTTGCTCATTAGCTCTTGTAACAGCATGAGTATGAAAAAAATGGCGGAGGACAGCATAGCTAATGGTGAATGTAAGAGTGGTCAACTCTCAGAATTGGGCCATACAGCATAATGAGCTCAGACTACAGATGATGTGAAGAAAGATTTTTACATTGTGTGTTGAAATTCAGGTGAAAACAGAGAAGGTATAGACCCTAAACCAAAATTAATATCTTAAACAGAAACTTTTCTTAGTCAAAAAACAAAGAAAACACATTGAGTTTTAAGTAAGCAGTTATTCTGAAGACAACTCTGGAGCTGTTCTTTAGACAAAATAGAAGGATGATAAAGGAGAGTAGAAACTTCACAGCAATGATTTTTTTAAAAATATCCTATCTTTGTACCCCTCTTGAAAGTAAATCTTGTTCAGAAACAGCAGACATAGGGACAGTAGGTGTATGTAGCTCCATGCTAAAGCACTTGACTAATGTACTCTCAGCCCCGAGTTCAAACCATACCACTTCTAAAAGAAAAAGATGTTTAGAAGAGGGTATTTTTATGTGTAATGTGAAAACCCTGATTGATGTATTATAATATTTGTCATTTTATTGGTAACTTCTATTTTTTATATGACACATTAATTGCTTTATGTACTTTATCTCATAATCTTTTCAATAAATATATAAGGTAGGTGTTATAGAGGAGGAACCACAGACTGAAAGGGTGAAGTGACTTGTTTATGTCACCAGTTGATGCCATGAATTGAATCCAGGATTGTGAAATTCCAAAGCCTGTATTCTGTCAAGCACACTGTATATAGGATGGTTTTCTGAGTGATTCCTAAGTGAGAGGGGCTCATGTATAAATTGCCTTCTTGGTATTGGAATGTGAATATAGTGATTTTAAATTTGAGAGGGAGCTTGTAAACTCTCAGGGGGAAACTTCTGTCAGGAGAGTTTTTATTTAGTATTTGCCAATAGTACTTAATGGTCTTTTATTTCTTCTAGGCAACTGGCCTACACTTTAGACACACTGATAATGTAATTCAGTGGTTGAATGCCATGGATGATATTGGATTGCCTAAGGTAACTTGCCTGATATTCATAGTTCTGCCTGTTTCAGTAAAATAGTTCTCATTCTACCTATAAAATTATTCTCAGGATGTTTGTTTTGTGCTACCGGAGATTGAATCCAGGGGTGCTCTACCATTAACCTTATACCCAGCCTTTTTTATTTTGAGATAGCCTCTTGCCTTAAACTTTCAGTTCTCCTGCCTCAGCCTCATGAGTAGGTGAGGATTATGGGAATGTGTCTCCTTACTGGTGGTTAATTTTTTGTTTAATGCTAAAGATTCTTTTTTTCTTTTCAATTTGTTCTTGTTCTCTTATTTCCTTATACCTGTTTTGTTTTACTCTAGTGAAATTCCCTATGATGATAATTACTTTTACTACATTAGTTTTAAGACTTATATTAAAGTGTTTTTTCTTAAATAGAATTTACATACTCTAAACTTCATCATTTTAAAGTGTACAGATAGTGGCTTTTATTTATTCACAAGTTATTACATTAAAAATATGAAGTTAGGCCAGGTGTGGTCATGCACATCTATAATCCTAGAAGTTTAGGAGGCTAAGACAGAAGGATTAAAAGTTCAAGGCCAGCCTCAGCAACTTAGCAAGGCCCTAAGCAACTTAGTGAGGCCCTGTCTCAAAAAGAAAAAAGGCTGTGGTCATAGCTCAGAGGTAAAGCACCCCTGGATTATATATCCGGTACCCATCCCCCCAAAATTAAAAAAAATATATATATATATATACACAACACACACATGTGGAAGTATTTTAGAGATGTCATTTTCCAGCTTCAGAGTAACCAAAATTCATAGGTTATTTTATATTTCAAATTGTCAAGGCAATATAATGACATTTCTCTCTGTGTCTGTTTTTGGTGGTGGCTGTATAGCAGTATGCATATTCTGCATTTTTTCTCAGGAGTTTATTTTTGTGCTGCTATTAGTGAAATTGCTACTCACTAGATACCCGTAAAGGCCATGTTGTCCTTAGAGGCATGGTTAAGTTTGTCTTTGACCTACTTTTAAGAATTTATTTCCCCTCAAACAATTAGAAAAACACAAAAGATGTATTTATAAGGATTTTCCAGCCTGCTTATAATAGAAAAATTGAGAGCAAATCACTTGTTCCTTCACTAGGGATACTATTGGTGTTAAAGTCAAATATGGGTGCCATTATATGTCCGCTTATGTAGACAAAGGAGCTGTCTTCATGTATTAAGTAGGGGGAAGGAAACCAGTTTATGGTTATAAGAGCTTTTGTCCGGCTAACTCATTTCTGTGTGTTGGGATTAAGAGGTGGTTTTTATTTTCATTATATGTAGCTGTGGAGTCCAAATGTTTATAACTGTGTGAAGTATCAGAAAGTGGCTTATACCACTTGAAAATGAATATTTGATATTTAGTGTACTGCTGAGCTCACTGTTAGCTCATGTCTGTTGAAATGAGTTAAATCCAGAGCTGAGTCTTTGTAAAAGACCAGCTTTTATCCTCTCTTTTTCAGAGCAGAGTGCTAAAATTCTGTTCCTTGCCACTGGTATGTTTGAGAATTAGGCCCTACAAATGTCAGGAAATGCAATGTGTCAAAATGTTTACAGCTGCTTGGCCTTTCTGTGCACCTGTAACTTCCTGTTCCTGTTTTTTTATATAGTGTATCGCCAGTGGTCAATGACAATTTAACTTTTGTTGAATGGTACTAAGAGCTTTTTAAATATTTGCTACTGCTGGTAGTGTTATTACTATAAGATGTAATTTTAATTACTTTTTTGTTTGTTTGTTTACTAACAGTAGTAACAAACATAGAGTTCCCCAAAGGCTTTCAGGGACAGCATGGTAATCATGTCTGTAGCCTTGGAATATCTACCTTACATGATATAGGTCCAGAAGGCTTCTGGGTAACATGAACTAAAGATACTTCAGCCTAAAAATATATTGGTATCCATAAAATAATGTATGGTGTGTAATTTACAGTGCATATGTAGTGTTTTGGGATGTCTTAATCTCCTTATGATAAATATAGAAAATTAATACAATGATCTTTTGCTTCCTATCCTTTCTTTTTTTTACAAAAATATATTTTTTTTAGTTATAGGTGAACACAATATCTTTATTTTATTTTCATGTGATGCTGAGGATCAAACCCACTGCCTCACACATGCTAGGCAAGTGCTCTACCATTGAGCCACAACCCCAGCCCCTCTTCCTGTCCTTTCTGATTTTTTATTATAATTGATATTGTTGGCCACCTTCTCCCTGAAATCTTTTCTGATTTTGAATAATTAAATTGTTTTTAATTTGCCCAACTAGTCTTGATTACTTGAACTCTTCCACTTTTGATTAATTTTGTCAATGGGCATTTTTAAAGATGCAATCTTTTTTTTTAATATTTATTTTTTAGCTTTCGGTGGACACAACATCTTTGTTTGTATGTGGTGCTGAGGATCGAACCCGGGCCGCACACATGCCAGGCAAATGCGTTACCGCTTGAGCCACATCCCCAGCCCCAAGATACAATCTTTTTAAAGCTATTTCTCCCATTTTTGTGGGTTCCGTTATTAAGATTCATTTGCTATAAGAAGAACATGGTACCTTCAGTTGGTTGCGATCATTTCTCCTTGGATAGCTTTCTATTACCTAGAATTTTTTATATCTAAAACTAAACCTTTCTTTTCCCCAAGTAAACATGCCCTTCTCTATGATAAGTGATACTGTGTCATCATTATTACAGTCATCCAAGCTTAGAACCTTGGTGAGATCTTAGTCTAACCAGTCATTTCCAAAACCTTCTTCATTTATGTGAGATTATCTCTTTTATCCATCCACTGTTTTATATATATAAGAACTCCCCGGCCTGCCTCTCCAGCTCCAGTCTTTTCATTATTCAATATATCCTATGTCCTGTCTCCAGTCAGATCTTCCTAAAGCTGTTTTTATCCTTATCCTTAGTTCCAAAGCTAGGGGTTTTCTTTAAGTCCTGCTTATCAAGGTCAAAATTTTCTGATTTTTAAGTTGCTCATAGTAATCTGATTCCATCATACTGACCCAACCTTATTTTTCTATTATTTTCTAGAAGATATTCTGTATATTCTTGAAAGCAATGGGCTAGATATTTCCTTACTCACAAATATGGTTATTCTTGCTTTAACTTATTCTTTTTTCTTGGTATCAGGGATTGAACCCAGGGGCACTTTAACACTGAACTATACCCCCAGTCCTTTTATTTTTTAATTTGAGGCAGGGTCTGAGTTGTTTAGGGTCTCATTAAGTTACTTTTATTTTTTATTAAGTTACTGAGGCTGGCCTCTAACATGTGATCTTCCTGCCTCAGTCTCCTGTGTAATTGGGATTATAGGCATGTACCATTACACCCAACTCTGCTTCATTTGTTCTTATAGTTTCTCTTGGTTGGAAAATCTTTTGTTGTCTATTATGATTTACTCATTAGTTTAGGACTTCATAGTCTGTTTTGTTAGAGGTCTTTATTACTCTCTAGATTCTTCTAATCAACTCATTATTCAGTCTTTTGCTTCCTATCCTCTGTTACCCTTTATTTCTCTAAATCACAGATTGGGTTGTATGGTGCCACTCTACGAGAGAATAGGTCTTGAAATTCAAAGCTATTGCCAGTCTAAACCTAATGCTGTTGCTATTCTACCTCATTGGTTAAACTGTCAAATATAGAGGTGCTTCAGTGACCCTGCTCTGAATTTGACATTAAATTAGCAGTAACATAGACCTAGTTCCCTGCCTTCCTGGGGCTTTTAGTCTGTTGGAGTAGCCATTACCGATAACCATAGGTAATTAGTTAATTGCACTAAGTGCTTTCAGGGAAAAATACCTGTCTTCTACATTCCCATATCCATCCTCTACTATATATACTTTATTTTTCTATCTTTCTACTTCTTCAGAGTATTATAGTACATTTCATATTTAATGGTTTTTTTTCAGTGTCCAAATATAGTAGTTTGCATACACTAAAAAGCATATAGTGTTTGTTGTTGAAGTATTAATCTGACATAGTAACTAAAAAGATTGTGGTCCTTTAATGCCTCATACACTTGCCACTGATTTAAACTGAAATAGAACTTGGGTTTCATTTACCTGTGTCTGGGTCTGAAGTAACTAAATCACTTTTTACACATCTAATGAAATTCAGTGAGTTGACCAAATAAGGATTCCCCAAATACTTTTCATTATGTATTGCCACATCTTACTCCTTGCAGTGCTTATGATGAAATGTTTGTTCAACCTAATGAAGTGATTTGCTGAATACCAACAATGTTTTCTAATTGTCCATAATTTTATTTGTTCTGTCGATGATTGGTGAATGATTATATGAAATCAGTGGACGGATAACTTACTCTGCTTATTTTATTTCTTCTTAGATTTTTTACCCAGAAACCACAGATATCTATGATCGAAAGAACATGCCAAAATGTATCTACTGTATTCATGCACTCAGGTAATTAGATTTTCTTGGTAAAATAAGCAGTTTAGGAATGACATCTCAGTTGAGTGTATGTCTTTGTCCATTGGAAGAGTGAACACATTTTTTCATTAGCTTCAGGATTTTCAAATAGGATAGAAAGCTGCTAACCTCATACAATGGTAAAAACAGCTGTGTTTTTCCAGGGAGTAGAAAGAATGGATTTATTTATTCCCATAATAACAGATAGTTTTGTTGTAAAAACACGGCAAAATCTTTCATTATTGATCTAGTGTCTCTGTGACCTCCGAATTTCACACGGGTGCTGTCTTTTGTTTAGTCATCTAGGTCTTTGCCATTATTAAGCTATTTGTTCACTCATTCAGTAATTTTTATACCAACATAAATATGATAATAGGAACTGAAACAAATTATTTTTTGCACAGCTTCATGGTAAATTGGGAACATGACTTAATTTCATATCCCTCATTCTTAGAATCAACAGGTGTATTCGATTGGAAGGAAAATGTGATATCTCTGGAGGGAGGGGGGGGAATGGGAAGAGAAGGGATGCCTATTGTATACACTACAGCAATGTAGAATAACGTAGTATTTTAGTAGACTTATTTGATGGCCACAGGACTAAAGGAGAAGATGGGAAAAATGAGTGAGACATGAATATGAGATTTCTTTGTTTGGATTGTACCTTTTTAGATAGCATCTTATGTGTATGCTTAATAAATGTTGATTACATGAATGAAGGTATTGTATAATATTGATCTATAAGAAGCCTATTGTCACTCCATGGGGTGCTGCACGCTGTAATCCTACCTATTCATCAGGAGGCTGAGATAGGAGGTTTATAAGTTTGAGGTCAGCCTGGACAACCAAGAGAGACCTTGATTCAAAATAAAATTAAATAAAAAGGGCTGAGGGTGTAGCTTAGTGGTAGAGTGCTTGCATAGTATGCACAAGACCCTGGGTTCAATCCCTGGTGCTACAAAAAAAAAAAAAGAAAAGAAAAGAAACTTATTTTTCTGAGTTTCTCTTCTTTCATTTTTATTCCTGGTGCTAGAGATTGAGGCTTCACACATGCTAAGTACACACTGTACCACTGAGCTACAACTCCAGCCTGTTTACAGTGTGTTGATCACATATAATGCTGGTATCATTGGAACCAATGTGAAACACACAAAAGAATGAATACAGCTAAGAACTAGTATACTCTTGTATTGAGAATATAGCAATTTCATATGTGCGTGTGTCTAAGCCAAAATCAGATTAATTCTGAGATTGTGATTGGCTTGATTTTAATTTTTATTTTTTGTCAATAACCTAATTAAGATTGTACCTATAATGGCTTTCTGAACTTGGCAAATACAGAGGTTAAATTGGCAGAATTTCTCTCTACTAGTACTATAGCAGTAATGTAATCAGGGTCCCAGGCTTCAGTTCTCTGAAATACAGATGAGGATTAACTGTACTTTTCTCATGATGGAGTCAGAATGACAAAAGGGGGCGGTCCACTATTGTTTTCCATTTCTCTTGCATATGCAGTCTATGCTTAGAAAGTCTACACAGAGCAGTGTGTTTTGATTTGAGATTTATAGTTTCTTTCCTCTCATTTGGTGTTTTTCCTGAAAGTGGGTTGGCAACACTTGATGATTAAGTAGGAAGTGTGTGTAATTTTTCAGAGCCTCTTCTTTTACCATAAAACACAACAGTGTTCCAGGCATGTTCCTCACCTCACACGTATTGGGGGTGGCATGACCTCCCTTTGGATCAACTGTGATAAAGAAGTATTATTTTTGTTTTCTTTCTGCCCGCCCTCCCCCTTTAAAAGTCATTTTTTAAGGCATTATTCCAGGCATTGTCATTGTACTTCAGTCATAGTTATTTTTTTTTTAATTTTTTTAATATAATGGAAATAAATTCTTTTTTTATTGATTTTTTTAAAAAACACACGACAGTAGTGGAATGCATTACAATTCTTATTACACATAGAGCACAGTTTTTCATATCTCTGTATATAAAGTATGTTCACGCCAATTTATGCCTTTATACATGTACTTTTTTTGCATTACAATTCTTAATACACATATATACCACAATTTTTCATCTCTATTTGTGTATAAAGTATGTTGACACCCAATTCAAGTCTTCATACATGTACTTTGTATAATGATGTCTATCACATTCCACCATCCTTGCTAATCTCCTGCCCCCTCCCTTTCCTTCCCACTCCTCTTCCCTTGCTAATCCCCTGCCCCATCCCTTTCCCTCCCACCCCTCTTCCCTATCTAGAATTCATCTAATCCTCCCATGCTCTCCCTCCCGACCCCACTATGTGTCAGCCTCTTTATATCAGAGAAAACATTCCGGCATTTGTTTTTTAGGGGATTGGCTAACTTCACTTAGCATTATCTTCTCCAACGCCATTCATTTACCTGCAAATGCCATGATTTTGTTCTTTTTTAATGCTGAGTAAAATTTCATTGTGTATATATGCTACATTTTTTAAATCCATTAATCTACTGAAGGGCATCTAGGTGGGTTCCACAGTTTAGCTATTGTGAATTGTGCTGCTATAAACGTTGATGTGGCTGTGTCCCTGTAGTATGCTGTCTTTTAGTCCTTTGGGGATAGTCCAAGGAGAGGAATAGCTGGGTCAAATGGTAGTTCCATTCCCAGATTTCCAAGGAATTTCCATACTGCTTTCCATATTGGCTGCACCAATTTGCAGTCCCACCAGCAGTGTATGAGTATACCTTTTCCCCCACATCCCTGCCAACACTTATTGTTGTTTGTCTTCATAATAGCTGCCATTCTGACTAGAGTGAGATGAGTAGTTTTGATTTACATTTCTCTGATTGCTAGAGATGATTAGCATTTTTTCATATATTTGTTGACTGATTGTATATCTTCATCTGAGAAGTATCTATTCAGGTCTTTGGACCATTTGTTGATTGGGTTATTTGTTTTTTTGGTGTTTAGCTTTTTGAGTTCCCTAGCTTTTTTATATTCCCTAGAGATTAGTGCTGTATGTGATGTGTGAGGGGTTAAAAATTTGCTCCCAGGATGTTGGCTTTCTGTTCACCTCACAGATTGTTTGCTGAGAAGAAACGTTTTAGTTTGATTCCACTCCATTTGTTGATTCTTGGTTTTAATTCTTGTGCTATACCAGTCTTATTAAGGAAGTTGGGTCCTAATCCCACATGATGAAGATTGGGCCTACTTTTTCTTCTATTAGACGCAGAGTCTCTGGTTTAATTCCTAGGTCCTTAATCCATTTTGAGTTAAGTTTTGTGCATGGTTAGAGATAGGGGTTTAATTTATTTTGTTGCATATGAATTTCCAGTTTTCCCAGCACCATTTGTTGAAGATGCTATTTTTTCTCCACAGTCATAGTTATTTTTAAAGATAACACTCTATTCTCCATTATTCTTAATATATTTGTATACTTTCCATTTCCCCCAAAGTTTTGCTATTCTGAAAATACAATGGAGATTTGGGGGTGTGTAGCTTAGTGGTAGAGCAATTGCTTAGCATGCAGGAGACCCTGAGTTTGATCACCAGTATTGCCAAAAAAGAATTCATTTGGGGGTCAAATAGGCTCATAATCCCAAATTTTAAAAAAAAACCTTAATATTGGGGCTGGGACTGTGGCTCAGTGGTAATGCACGTGCATGGTATGTGTGAGGCACTGGGTTCGATTCTCAGCACTGCGTATTAAAAAAATAAAGATCTATCAGCAATTAAAAAAAATTAAAAACAAAACAAAACAAAAACTTAATATTTCTGAAAATAAAGTTTTAGTACAAGCTCTTTTGTTGGCAAAACCTGATAAGGATTAATTGAGGTTATTTAGAATATTTATGTATACTTGTATGTTTCTCTGCAGAAAAGCAATGTATTGATTAGGGGTGCTGCCCCAGCGTGTCCTGGGAATGTCTTCTAATACCATGTACACTATAGAATCTTTTTAATATTTGAAACATTTCTACATTGATGCATGTCTGGCTCAAAGAATTTAGATAAAGGACTGTGTATGGATTCTGTTTACTAATCAACTGTCATAAGAGTTTTTATTAATAAACTTTGAGATTAGTTTATTGATTTCTATTTTACTCTGCGTCAGCAAAGATAATTGGAATCTAGATTAGCTAACACAGCTTGCTTCTTGCTATTGCTACAAAGTGTAGCTAAAATAGGGAAAAAGAAAAGTCTAAGCTTAATGACAGGCTAACCAGATACAGTTGTTTTAAGTTATAAGCATGAAGCAGCAGGAGTGAAGGTTGGGAAGTAATGTTCACTGTTAGGGTTTTTAAGTTTCGGGTTTGAAGCTAAGTGCTTTTTGTGCTGGATTAGAGTATCTGAGTGGCTATTATGATTCTATTTGTAGCTCCAGTGTTTCCATAAAATACTCTTAAACACTTCCTAATAAATAAGGAAAGGTACAAGAAAGATGGTGCCCACACTCCTACTTTTTTCATCAGCCAGTGGTATCTTTGTACACTTTTAATTTACCATCAGATGACATTAAAAGTGACATTTTATGCCTCTTGGGCTATGAAAGTAATGTCCTTAAATTTTTAAAAATGTGGCAGCCATTTTTCTATTTTATAATGGAAATAAAAGGGGAAGAAATTCCTGGAGAAAATACCCTTACTACTGGGCACAGTGGTGCATACCTGTACTCCCAGAGGCTTGGGAGGCTGAGGCAGGAGGATCACAAGTTCAAAGCCAGCCTCAACAACTTAGAAAGGCCCTAAGCAATTCAGAGAGACTCTGTCTCTAAATAAAATGTGAAAAAGGACTGGGGATGTGGCTCCTTGGGTTCAATCCCTGGTACTATAGATAGATTAGATAGATAGATAGGGCTAGGGATATAGCTCAGTGGTAAAGCTCCTCTGGGTTCAATCCCCAGTACAAAAAAAAAAAAGATTAAATACTGTTATTAATTAGAATAAGTCAGGTATATTAGTGGAGAAAATATATAAGGGGACCTATTACATGTATAGAAAGTTATTGATTATTTTTATTTTGCTCTGGAAAACTTCTTGAGTAGTTATAAAATCTTCTGAGAGAGCAACTTTATATGGTTTCATTTTGAATGTTTTGCCCCAAAGGAAAGCACTTAATCATATACATGGCACTTCTCTGAGAAAATATTTAAGTGCTGTGGATATATAAACAATGTTTATATATAAACATTGCTGTGGATATATAAACAATGTTTTCAGAAAATTCAGTGTGTTTTCAGTTCTACATTTGGGTTTATTGTATACAATTTAAGTTTTGATCAGTTCTGTGATGCCTATATATATTTAAATGATGCTGAAGTTTATAGATAATTTGAAAAAACTGTAGACAATTAAATTTCTAGGATTTGTTTCTGATGTATTTTTTGGTCTTCTCCCTTATTGTTAACTGTCAATGTCTGTGAACTGTCCATTTGATCTCTTCTAATTTACCAATTCTAGTCTGCTATAGTGTTATAATACACTAACCTTACCCAAGTTTTACAGACACTTTCTATATCTGTGAGATATTGATTCATATTTATGATCTATAGGCTCTGAGTGGATATTAGTGAATGAGACTTTTATTGTTCCTTCTTTCGTGGAGCTTAGAGTCTAATGAATTTCTTTTCTTGGTTTGTTTATTTAATTTAAAGATTAAGATACATAATATGTACTTTATTTAAAACTCTTGAATTACCTGAATTAAACTTTTATATCAATAATATGAATTCAGTGTAAGATTTACTGTCTCAGAATGACAATTTTTCATGACAGTTTTTAAAGTGTCACCTAAAAGTTATTGATTATAGGAAGATAAACAGAAGCCAAGAGACCTCACTAATATTAGTTATGTTAAAATTAATACACCTAATTATACATTATGTTTATGCCAGAACTTGGATTTGAATTTATGTCTGCTGATTTCCCTGACTGCCAGTTTTCTTTAAGAGCAGCAGGTAGGTACTGCTGGGAGGCCTAACTCTTGTATATTATGTCTTCTAGTTTGTACCTGTTTAAACTAGGCCTGGCTCCTCAGATTCAAGACCTTTATGGAAAAGTTGACTTCACAGGTAAGGAGCTACATGCTTGGCAGGAAATGTTTGATTTATTTGAAACAGGCTGGAAAGTCAGCAGCACCAATTTTAAAGAACTAGAGCTTTAAAAATACTCTGGAAAAAATGATGAAAGAAATATAAATAACTTGCCTTTCTTAGTATGATGGACAGAACACTGAACTTGGAATTTCAGGCTGTGTTCTTTCACTTACGACATAGGTATGGTTAGTGAATCTGTTTTCTCATATGTAAATTGAGTAATTTTAATATGTAATATATATAAAACATATAATTGTATTAACATCTAACATTAAATGTTCATGTATGGTAAAAAGAAAGTTTATAAGTCCTTCCCATTCTATTGTGGGCAAAGCAAAGGCAAATGAATAGGAAGTGAAAAGATGCAAAGATGGCATTTTAGTAATTTTAAAGTTTAACCATCTTTGGGTGGGTGATTTTATACATATTACTCTTTTATTTCTGTTACAAAATACCTGAGACACTTTATAAAGAAAAGAGGCTACCAGGCACATTGGTGCACACCTGTAATTCCAGCAACTCCAAAGGCTAAGGGAGGATCCCAAATTTAAGGCCAGCCTTGGCAATTTAGTTATTCAGGGAGACTGTCTCCAAATTAAAAAAAAAAAAAAAAAAAAAAAGGTGGGGGTGGCTGGGGATGTAGCTCAGTGATAAGAGCTGGGTTCACACCTCAGTTACCCCGCATCCCCCAACCCCCCCCCCACAAGAAACAAGGCTTATTTAGCTCATAGTTTTGTAGGGTGAAAATATAAGATCAGGTGACCCCACTGATTTGGTTTGGCCTCTGGCAGATGGTATGGCAGAAGCATATCTGTGAATAGGGGATCACCTTGCAAGAGAGGTGCCAGAGAGCTAGGTGGGGCCAGAATTTTTTTATAACAGTGTCTTCTGAGAACTAACTCAAGGTTAGTTCCAGAGTACCTTCATCCTGAGATCAGTATCACCAGTGACCCTAGAGCCTCCCAGTAGGTGCCACCTCTTAAAGGTTCTACCACCTCTCACATTATTGCACCTAGTATTGAGTTTTTAACACATGAACCCCTTAGGGACAAATTGGTAACATTATGTGTATTTTTTGTAGTCAGGTGCTTGAAGAGGATTCTTGGGAGAAAAAGAGCAGAGGTTAATATTGGTTAGGGGTAAAAGAGATTCAAGTCTTTTGAACTAGTGATTATTTTTTAGGCCTGGGAGTTTAAGAATTGATAAGAAAGCTTTTATCTGTGACATTTTTACTTCCAGGGAAGTTGTTGACCAGATGTGGCCAAAGGTCAAACCTTACTTGTTGTTTTCTTTATCATTTGGCTTTCTGTCTTAGAAACAAAGTTATTGAGTAGCAGCTACTGATTTGGATTTTAAAGACTGAGATAACTGTGATTCACTTCTTGAGCTCCCTTTAAAGCTTCCATTTATAAGTTAACTGTAGGAAATGCCATAAGTAGCAGTTTTGAAAAACTTTCCCATAGGGTCTTCTCACTTTATAGTTAATGTTTAATGCCTAATTAATGTTTATTGATTACAAATTATATAGTAGGTACTATGTTACATCCTCCCATATATTATTTCATTAAATCCTTTTAATAACCCTAAGGAGTAGATGCCATTTTCTCTTGTTTTATAGCTAAGGAATCTGTTTCCTTCTCTGAGTTGTGAAAGGGTACTTAATTTGCTTGGTTGGATCTTCATTCTTTTCTGTAGAAGAAGAAATCAACAACATGAAGATTGAACTAGAGAAGTATGGGATCCAGATGCCTGCCTTCAGCAAGATTGGGGGCATCCTGGCTAATGAACTGTCTGTGGATGAAGCTGCATGTAAGAAGAGAGAGATTTTCTGGGTTCAAGTGGGATTGTTACTACAACTTGTAGTGATTAATACCGTGGTGATGATCTTGGACAATAGGAATTCTGCTATCAAGTTTAAGTCTGTAGATGGGATTTTAAACATTGCTATAGTCTTCCATGCTATTGTTATTTGGAAATGAATTCTCAATTTTGATTAAAAGAAAAACATTTAGAAAGTGAGTTCTACATTTCATTGCCTTTTTTTTAAATTTTTTAAAGATATTGATAGACTTTTATTTATTTATATGTGGGGCTGAGAATTGAACCCAGTGCCTCACATATGCCAGGCAAGTGTGCTACAGCTGAGCCCCAGCCCCAGCCTCCATTTCGTTGCCTTTTGAAGGGTTTCTTTTTTTCTTTATGGTATTCACTAGGTCATTAAGGGTGAACATTTTCCATACCAAATAAATGTTCCTTCCAGTGTTCCTTCATGAGTATTTCCCTATGTGACTGTAAATTCAACATGGATCACAGGGAGAGCTGTGGCTTTGTGCATCAGAGACTAGGTTTGCAGGATCTAGGGAGCTACTCCTCTAACTCCAAGTGTTTTTACTCTTATCTATGCAAAGGAACCTTTTGCTGGGTGTGGTCACACACCTGTAATCCCATGAATTTGTGAGGTTGAGGCAGAAGAATTGCAAGTTCATGGCCAGCTTCAGCAATTTAGTGAGACCTTTTCTCAAAACTAAAAGAAAAAAAGAAAAGAGCTGGGAACATAGCTCTGTGGCAAAGCACACTGGGGTTCAATTCCCAGCACAAAGAAAAAAAAAAGTTTTTCTCTGTAATAGGGGATGCAATGTTGTTTTGTATCTGTGTTTATCCTTTAGTAATTTCAGTATTCTATGCTTTGAATTTTTTCTTTTCTTTTTTTTTTTTTTTAGTACATGCTGCTGTTATTGCTATTAATGAAGCTATTGATCGTAGAATTCCAGCTGACACGTTTGCAGCTTTGAAAAACCCCAACGCAATGCTTGTAAATCTTGAAGAGCCTCTGGCTTCTACTTACCAGGACATACTTTATCAGGCCAAGCAAGACAAAATGACAAATGCTAAAAACAGGGTAAAAATGGAATATTTTTATAATTAATTTATATTCTTCTATCATTTGGTATGATTTCACTTTAAAAAACAGTTTTATTGAAGTATAATTTACATACAATAAAATCCATGCATTTTAAGTATACAATTTGAGTTTTACAGATGTATGTGGCCGTTTAACTATTGCACTAAAGAGTTCCCTGACTCCCCTTTGCAGTCAGTCTCCATCTGCCCATCCCTCCTCCAGACAACTACCAATCTATTTTTCTCACTATATCATACCATTTCTAGAATTTCATTGAAATGCAATTATACAGTATGTAGTCTCTTGGTATTAGGTTCCATTTTGACCTCTTGTTTTCTTTTTGAATTTTGTGCAAATGAAGTTTTGGATTGTGGACATTAAAAATTAATTATATCCTTTGGAAATATGATTTCCAAATCATCTTTCCTAGCCCCTCTGGAGTGAATTTTTTTTTTTAACCATTGTTATCACTATGTAGAAGTTAGCTGAGTGATTCTGACTTGAAAAAGAAAAATGAGGCTAAGACTGTCTTATAAGATTTCACTCAAATTTATTCACCCCTTAAAATTAATGATTGAAATGTTTCAGTTCTTTGGAAAGTATCCAGATGATAAAATGAAGTCAACTCTGCTCTCAGAATATTCTTTAAGTCTCTTATCATTGAGCAGGGATTTCAACCCCCAAAACAGATGCCCAATTGGTCTGCAGATTAGTAATTGCAGCCCTGCCCCTGTTTGTGCCACCAGTGAAGCTCCAAGATTGGTACCCATGTGTGCCTATTCTGCTCACGTCTGAGGCAAGATGTGGGTCATTAGTCCCACCACCTCACAGGGTTTATTCAGTGCTTCCTTCACTTGTCTAGCTCTGCAATATCCCAGTGCTTATTAACAAGTGATCTAGTCAGATTTTTAGTTGTAATCATGCAGCATTCTGCTCTTTTTTTTTTTTTTAACAAAGGATTGAAGTCACATACACACTTGTTCTTAATTGTGTTGAATGGTGGTAGAGAGGTACAAATGTATTTCTGTGGTCTTCTTAGAGACCTGAACTAATTTAATTTTACTTTTTACTCATCCTCAGACAGAAAACTCCGAGAGAGAAAGGGATGTTTATGAGGAGCTACTCACTCAAGCTGAAATTCAAGGCAATGTAAATAAAGTCAACAGTAAGTATGTTCTTGAATAAGCACCTAATGGGATATTACAGAATAATGTTTGTGTTGTTCTACTCTTGGACTTAAGACATGGTTTAGCTGGGCACAGTGGTGCATGCCTGTAATCCCAGTGGCTCAGGAGGCTGAGGCAGGAGGATCAGGAGTTCAAAGCCAGCCTCAGCAACTTAGTGAGGCTCTAAGGAATTGAGTAAGACCCTGTCTCTAAATAAAATATTCAAAAAAGGGCTGGGGATGTGGCTCAGTTTTTAACTGCTCCTTGGTTCAATCTCCAGTATCCTCACCCACCCACATCCCCCCAAAAAACAGAAAGAAAAAGAAAAAGACATGGTTTAATTGTAGACATTAGTGGATTTGTTTAGGAATGATTATTTATTACAGTATTGTGTATTCTTGTTCTGTTTGAACTATCATTGCCCTCAGATAGCCCTTGTTCTTATACCTGCAAGGGCTTCTGGACTCTCTTTTTTGATTCTTTTATCCTGTTAAAAATATTTTAAAAACATGTTTTCTGACCAGGCATGGTGGAGCATATCTGTAATCCCAACAGAGGATTGGGAGGCCAAGGAAGGCGAATCACAAGTTGGAGGGCAAGTGACTGTTGTCATGGAGCCACATCCCCAGCTGTTTACTTTTAATATTTTGAGTTAGGATATCACTAAGTTGATCAGGCATGCCTTGAACTTGGAATCCTTCTGCCTTAATCTTCCAGGTATCTGTGATTACAGGTGTGGACTACCATGTCCAGCTCCTCATTTTTTCGAACATCTTTGTAAATTCCTTCAGTTAGAGATTATTCTGCCACTTTTGAAATTTTTATAATTCCCAGCATAGTGTTATACATAACAAAAGAACAAAAATTTTTATTATAACCCAATTAGACCACATTTTGATTTGTTTTGCTCAAGATAATAATATAGTAATCATTTATTTATTGGAGATGCTAATTTGTTGTTTGAACTAATAATACTCTTGATAACTAGAGAGGAATTTTGAAGAATTTTATCAACTCCATTTGATATAGAGGTCTAAATCTTGACGAAGATTCTTTGTATTCTATTATATTATGGTTCATTTATTTAGGATAATGACCTTCTGAACAGAGTAATAGTTCCCTTCAAGTATGATTGATTTCTTGTGCTGTATCTCTCTGAATACTTAGGTTAGCAAATATAAACTGGACTGTGCTTATACTTAGTACTCTGTATGAGAAGAAAGTCCAGCATGTTTCCTGTTGCATAGAGTACATAAAATATTTTTTTGCTTTACTAAGGAATTTTTCCTACAATATTGTTCAGGGTTTTATAATGTTTATTGCTTTACCTTGCTAATTATATGAGAATTATAAACTTGTAAGAAAATAATCATAAGTGTGTATACTCAGTATTCTATGCACATTGTCCTGCTATGGTCACAGAAGTTCTTTCAAATAAACTCAATATAGTGGGAAAGGTAGTCATGCAAATGAATAATTTCAGGACAGCTTTATTATAACAAGGTAGCAAAGATACATGAGGTGCAGTCATAAAGAAGGGAATGGAGACTTCTCAAGGTTGGGGTAGGTTTTCAGTGCATGTGAATATTCACTGAGATTCTTAGGAAAGATAAGAGGATGAGGATAAGACAGAGAGGGACAATCTTTTCCTAATTTTAGAGAAAGTATGAGGCATATTATGAAAGTACGAGGAATATTATGTTCTTAGGAAGACTTTCTCATCTTAAGTAATTATAGAGGGTTTTTTTTTTTGTTGTTGTTGTTGTTGTTAGGCTATGAGAACCAGCAACACTGCTCATTAACACTGCCCCAGAGGAAATCTGCAGGCTGAGTAGTTAGAAACCAGAAAATATTTTATTTTTTGTTAAGTAGAATAAGAAAATTAAAGTTAATAATTAAAGTTCAGTGAGAGAAAGTATTTAAATGTTCTATTCACATTTTTACATATGAAAGTAGTATATTTATGCTTTCAGAGAAAGCATAATTGACTAGAGGCTTTTGTAGCAAATACTCAGATTCTGTAGTTCATACTTAGACAAAATCTGGTTGCTCCCTGAATTGATTTTATTTTCTGCCCCTACTATAAAAAAATGATAAAAATTTAAAAAACCTCAGGATGGGGATATTTGTTTTGTTAACTGCTGTTTTCACAGCATATAGCAGGACCTCGGTGAATATTGTGGAAGGAATAATGGCCATGTAGACCTTCAGCTGTGATTCAAGAAGATTATGTATACCTTGGCTCAGGGCTCAGGTAGTTGAATTACAGGCATAATCATTAGGAAGAAATAAGCAGTCTCCCGGGAACCTACAATGAGATCATAAATCCAGAGCAGTTTTTTCTTTCTTTTACCTTTTGGTTTTATTAGTTCTGCTTCTCCCCTATTGTACCTGCTCCCTACCCCCATAGTAACAGGCATATGTTTATTGAAGGAATAGGAAAAGGGAAAGGAGACACTTGCAGGGAGAGACTGGGTCCTCTCAGAGGGGAGAAGGGCCGCCATTTTCCATTTTATTTAAGACTTTATTTTCCCATGGGTTGTTTTGTCTTTCTAAGAACTTATATTAATAGTTGATTTTTTTAATGAAATCATTTTAAACTAATAAGTTTTGTTATGACCTAGATATTTTGAATTTTTGTGTTTTATTGGTTTCTTTTTGCTCCATTGGTGATAAAATCAGATGTTCATCTCTGAGTAGTGGAGTAATAGTCTATTTTTTTTTCTAAAAAAGAAAAAAGGGCTGGGGATATAGCTCAGGTGGTTTAGTGCTTGCCTAGCCTGGGTTCAATCTCCAGCAATACACACAATACACACACACACACACACACACACACACACACACACACACATATAAAACAACAACAACAAAACCCAACTAAAAACAATAAAGTAAGTATGATTTCTGACTGGGTTTAATTTCTGAAATCAGAAAGTATTCTAACTTTGAACTTAATAACACTTTATTTATTTTACAATATATAAAGGGCTTTCATGGGTATTTCATTTAATCCTAAAAATCACTCTGTCAGCTCAGCATGATGACATGAGCCTATATTCCACAGTACTTGGGAGGCTGAAGCAGGAGGATTACTTGAACCCAGGAGTTTGAAACAGCCTGGGCAACATAGTAAGATACTATGTCTTTAAAAAAAAAAAAATCACCCTATTAGGGAGGTATCTTTACTATCACATTCAGATGAATGAATATCTGGGTTTCCACTGTCAGATGTTACATTAAAGAACTTGTGTGACATTGGAGTCTATGGTTGGAAGTAGAAAGTGTTTATTTAGTTGTTTGTTTGTTTTTTTTCCAATGTGGTACTGGGATGGAACCCAGTGCTTCATGCATGCCAGGCAAGTACTCTACCACTGAGCCACAATCCCAGCCCTAGAAGTAGAGGTTGAGAGGGGAAGATAGCTCCTTCCACTCTGCACTTGATGTGTGGACACTGACTACCATGGCTTGAGAGTGTTCAGGAAATATCAGGATAATGAATGGATTCAAAATGCTGTATAAGAAATGGTTGAAGAAACTCAGGCTCTTGGTAAGGAATGCATTGGCATAGGAAGCCAGAGGAGTTAGATATATTCTGTGTGAACTCTAGGGTGGGAACTTTAAAAAGTCTTTGAAACAAAATTGTCAAAAATGTAGTAAATTGTCATATTCTATACTTTTATCTGTTTAATAGTCTACAGACATGATCTGCTCAACTACTGGGCATTTTAGAAAGTCTGGATTGGTGGCTTCTATTAGTGTCCATATCAGTGCCAAGCTGTCTACATCTTGAAGCTTTTAAGTAAGCTTGGGTGTGGCTTAGGAATCTGTATGGAATTTGGTGAACAACCTGGTTAAGACCCCCTAGACTGGATAACTTTAAGATTATCTTCTAATGCACAATGGAATTTTACTCAGCCATAAAGAAGAAAGAAATTATGGCATTTTTTGGTAAATGGATGAAACTGGGGAACATCCGTGCTAAATGAAATAAACCAGATTCAGAAAATCAAGGGTCAGATGTTCTTCCCATGTACAGAAGCTAGAGAAAAGTAAGGGGAATAAAAAAAGGGCATGGGTAGTCAGATATCATAAAGACCGAGGGAAGATCAGCAGAGTAGGAGATTGACTGGAAAGGGGAGGAAATACAGAATGAATTTCACAAAATTAGGTTATATCTATAAAGTGCCAATTAAATATATAAATGAATGGAAGGTGAATTCTATCTTTTGTATATCTATAAAGTGCCAATTAAATATATAAATGAGTGGAAGGTAGACCAGTAGAATAGAAGAAGGGGAGTAGGTGGAGGGAAAGTGGGGGACACTGGGGACTGAAATGGACTATATAAATTCCATGCATAAATGATTATGTCAAAATGAAGCTACCTATTATGCACAACTATAATGCACCAATAAAAGCATCTTCTAATCCTAAAATCTGAAATATTACAGATAAAGGTCAAATAATATTCCCCTAATCTGGAACTGAGTTTGAGGCTATTATACTAATATGGTATCTCTTTTTAAAGCCTTTTGTCTTTTTCTTCCTCCTCAGCATTTTCTGCATTAGCAAATATTGACCTGGCTTTAGAGCAGGGAGATGCCCTGGCCTTGTTCAAGACTCTGCAGTCTCCTGCTCTGGGTCTTCGAGGACTCCAGCAACAGAACAGTGACTGGTACTTCAAGCAGCTCCTCAGTGATAAGCAGCAGAAGAGACAGGTGAACATACTTTGGGTGGAACCTGCAAGAGTTCCTGTACATCCATTTGATTTTTGTTTGTCTTTGATATTGGGCATTGAACCAGGTGCATTAACCATTGAGACACATCTCCAGCCCTTTTTATTTTTTATTTCAAGACAGGGTCTTGATAGGTTGCTGAGGCTGGCACTGAATTTGCCATCCTCCTCCCTCAGTCTCCCTAATCACTGGAATTACAGGCATGCACCACTGCACCCAGCTATTTACATCCTTTTGAATTTCATGCTGTCATTTAAAGATATGGCCTTTTCTTATTCCTAATCTCTTTTCCATCATTAGTTGAAAAAACTTTCCTTAGCTAAATTATACATTATCTTCAGCCCTCTTTTGCTTTTAGAGCTGTGAATCCTCTTTTAAAATAATTAATACTCTGAATCTAACCACTTCTTCACTTCAGTTTTCCTGCTCCTCCCTGAGAAAAAGCCTTTGAAGGAAAACAAAATCTGAATTTTTTTACATTATTACTTGGGAATTTCCACTTTAAAACAAACACACACCACACACTAGTTTGCCTTGGCCAACACTGGGAAAATACTTAATTTTTTCTATGGGTAGATTATGTGGAATTAAATTTTGTGGAGTTTTGGGTTTTTGTTTTTTTAAAGAACAAACATGAAGGGCTTTCTTTTTGTCTAAATAAGGGCAAATATACATTTTACAAATTCTCTGTATGTTGGTTAGAGAAAGTAGCATTAATGTGCTCTAATGATTCTGTAAACATTTTCTCTCAGAACATTTTGATGCTTTTCACAAAATAGTTTAAAAAATGTGCTGATATCTGGAAAGTCACTCTAGTCCAGATTTGTCTCTAGCCAAGCTGATACTTGGCTCCATGTAGCCCGTAGCTGTCACTTGTGTTCACCCTGTGTCTGCTGCTAAGATATGAAAACTATCAGGTCTAGAGGCATAGGCATGAGTAATGTCTTCATAAATGTTCTTTGCTTTTCTCAGAGTGGTCATACTGATCCCCTGCAAAAAGAGGAGCTGCAGTCTGGAGTAGATGCTGCAAACATTGCTGCCCAGCAATATCAGAGAAGTAAGAATCCTCTCAGCTGGGTGTCCCCTGAAATTTTTAGGATGGGAGGAAATTTGTGGCTTTATGTCAATAAGGGTGTGAGGTTAGCATCTATTACCCCTCATCCTCTGCCCCAAGCCTACTAGCCATAATGACTACCAAGTACTTTGGGAGGCTCTAGGGTTCTTCCATTTTTTTTTGGCGGGGTGGGAAGTGTTGGTGTGGGTACCAGGGATTGGTCTCAGGGGCATTTGACCACTGAGCCACATTCCCAGCCCTATTTTGTATTTTATTTAGAGACAGGGTCTCACCGAGTTTCTTAGCGCCTCGCTTTTGCTGAGGCTGGCTTTGAACTGGGAATCCTCTTTCCTCCGCCTCCAGAGCTGCTAGGATTACAGGCGTGCACCACTGCACCTAATGGGTTCTTCCAGTTTTAAAAGTAGAAGTAGAGTTAATGCAGGCTCACTTTGGCCAATAAGCACTTTATAGTCAGGGAAATATCTAGAGGAGGAGATACTAGATTGGTAAAATTTGAATTGTGAATGAGGAAAAGAAGAATGTTCCTTATGTGAGACAATAAGGAAGAAAGTGGGAGCAGGGGTGCAAAAGGTGAGCAATTCATTTAAGGAAATGATGGTTAGAATAAAATTTTTATATATGTTTTGGGTTGAATAAAGTCAGACAAAGTGTTAGAAAAGACTGTGGAATGCTTTGAATTGTAGCCTAAGAGGTATTTGCTGGACTCCAGGGGAAAGAAAAGATGTTTTAGGTGGAGATAATAGTGGCATATGGGATGAGTTGAGTAGAAAGAAAACATGGATGAGGAGAATGATTAGGAGGCTGCCCTTATTGAAATATGGCTCACATGTCATACATCATACAAAAGAAGCAACATTTAAAAGATGAAAGATCCACTTCAAGCTTCATAGCCTGATATTTCATAGCTTCAGTGAAAATTGTCACTTCCTTTCCCATAGGGCTGTCTAAGCCTGCTGCATTTCTGACCTCCTATTTTCTGCATAGGATTGGCAGCAGTGGCAGCAATTAATGCTGCAATCCAGAAGGGTGTTGCTGAGAAGACTGTTTTGGAACTAATGAATCATGAAGCACAGCTGCCCCAGGTGTATCCATTTGCTGCTGATCTTTATCAGAAGGAACTTGCTACTCTGCAGCAACAGAGTCCTGAAGTAAGTTAGTCAATCCTCTCTTGTTTGTAAGCCAAATGGGGTGGAAGTAAATTTAATATCCACATCTTAATAAGCTTAGGTAGAATGGTTTTCCAGAAACTTACTTTTCTTATAGTTTATTTAAACTTCCATCTCTTTTGGTATTGGAGAATACTTCCACTTACTGTGTTTTCTTTCTCCCTTTCTGTACAGCATAACCTCACCCATCCAGAGCTCTCTGTTGCTGTGGAGATGCTATCATCAGTGGCCCTAATCAACAGGGCACTGGAATCGGGAGACATTGGTACAGTGTGGAAGCAATTGAGCAGTTCAGTTACAGGCCTTACCAACATTGAGGAAGAAAACTGTCAGAGGTGGGTGTCCACAGTAAATGCATTGAGTCCATTACATACCTGATATCCCTGCATTTCATCTATCTTCTCTTCTGTTTTCTCTGCAGGCATTATGACTATAGTGTAATCATTCTTTTTTGTTGTTGTTGTGCTTTGATTCTTTTTATTCTGTATTAAGCGGAAGCATTTACAGTACATTACAGATACCATGATGTTCCTCTACTAAATACATGTGCTTATCTAAATTTGTTATATAGCCAAAATAACACTGTACTATCAGCAATATTAATACTTCTTTTAATATCTTCTAAATCTTAGTTCTTTTTTTTTTCATTCTTGTTCAGTTGTTCCAAAACTGTCCTTTATAATTGGTTTATTCAAACTGGGATCTAGACCAGGACCATGTGTGGCATCTGGCTTATGTCCCTTAGGTTTCTTTTAATCTAGAATAGGTCCTCTTTTTCATGACACTGACTTGTTAATGAGATGGGGCTAGTTGTTCTATAAAATTTCTCATCTTATGTATAGTTCTAGGAGCTTTCTCATGTTGCTTATTCTTATAAATTGGAAATTGAATCTAAAGACTTAACATGATTTAGTTCACCATTTTTGTGATGTGAATATGATATGATATCAAAAGACATATAAGATCTATTTTTTCTTCTATTTGAGATTCTTTTAGATTTTATCCTTGGGTCAGGGAGACAGTTTAAACACCATTGCATATTTTTTCCTTTAACAACAGGATATCATTTCTTTTTTTAAAAACTTTTTTTTTGAGAGAGAGAGAGAGAGAGAATTTTTAAATATTTATTTATTTTTAGTTTTCGGTGGACACAACATCTTTATTTGTATGTGGTGCTGAGGATCAAACCCAGGCTGCACGCTTGCCAGGCGAGCATGCTACCGCTTGAGCCACATCCCCAGCCCCAGGATATCATTTCTTTTTGAACCTTTTACAACATCAAAGTGCTCCTTTCCCATTAACTGTTCACAGAATATTTTTTAACCCAATAGAGAATTTTTGCTTAAATCAGCACTTTAAAAGTTGCTGAATAATGATTTGTTCATCTGTCATTGCTTCTACATTTATTAGCTCATGTGTCTGGTTGAGGAGGTGCTGGGAATTTAGCTCAGGGCCTCATGTGTGCTAGGCAGATGCTCTACCATTGAACTACACACCCAGTTTTTTTTTTTTTTTTTTTTGGTCATTAAAGGAATTGCTTTAGTTGTTGCCCTTGATTCTATATATAACAAGCTATTGAATAAGTGACTTCCTTACATTTTCACATTTTGTTTAAGGGAACTCCTCAATCCCAAAACTTGCCTATAGATTATATCAAACAGTTGGGGTACCCTAGAGTTCCTTTGTTCTTTGAGTACTTTGTTCCTTAGTCTTCTCATTTCTGTTATAATCCTAAAGGTCTTTTATTCTTGATTGGGGTTGGGGGCAGGTATCTCGATGAGTTGATGAAACTGAAAGCTCAGGCACATGCAGAGAATAATGAATTCATCACATGGAATGATATCCAAGCTTGTGTGGACCATGTGAACCTGGTGGTACAAGAGGAACATGAACGTGAGTAATCATCCTGCCCCTCAAGTAATGTCACTATTAAAGATGATGCAATTTCCACGAACTGGTTCTAGATATCGTTGCTAAAATAACTTTTTTTTTTGGGGGGGTACCAGGGATTGAACTTGAACTTGGGCGCACTCAACCACTGAGCCACATCCCCAGCCCTATTTTATATTTTATTTAGAGACAGAGTCCCACTGAGTTGCTTAGTGCCTCGCTTTTGCTGAGGCTGGCTTTGAACTTGTAATCCTCCTGCCTCAGCCTCCCAAGCTCCTGGGATAACAGGCATGTGCTCTACACCTTGTTAGAATAACGTGTGTGTGTGTGTGTGTGTGTGTGTGTGTGTGTGTGTGTGTATGTATGGTGCTGGGGATTCTACCTAGGGCCTTGTGCTTGCAAGGCAAGCACTCTACCAACTGAGCCCCTAGAATAACTTTTGAGAGAAAAGTATTTATAAAACTCAAAAAGCTAAGGTTGGGGAGCTGGGGTTGTGGCTCAGTGGTACAGCACTTGTCTAGCATGTACGAAGCACTGGGTTCAATTCTCAGCACCACATATAAATAAGTAAATAAAATAAAGGTCCATGAACAACTAATAAAAATATTTTTTAAAAAAAGCTAACATTGGATACTGTTTTCAAAACACTAGGCAATTGCTATAGTTAGGTATGAATCTAATAAATAAGTTTGAGGGACTGGGAATGTAGCTCCAGTGGTAGGACACTTATTTAACATGCATGGGGCCCTGGGTTCAATCCCTAGTACTGCTGCCAAAGAAACAAAACAAAACAATAAGAATAAGAAATTTGGGGCTGGGGTTGTGGCTCAGTGGTAGAGCACTCGCCCAGCACGTGCAAGGCCCTGGGTTCGATCCTCAGCACCATATAAAAATAAATAAATAAAATAAAGGTATTGTGTCCAACCACAACTAAAAACAATAGATATTTTTTTAAAAATAAATTTTTCAGGAGGTGAAATGTGTGTTGCTTTGCTCAGGTGGAGGGCACTATCCTCCACAAGAATCCTCTTGCTTTACACACCTGCCTTAAGTTCCAGGCGGGGTTCTTAGGTCACTGCACTTGTGAATATTGGCTATAAATTTGGGGGTTCCTTCTGTCCCCTCAGGCTCAATAGTTTGCTATTGAGAACTGGAAAAAGTGCTAGACTTATGATAATAGTTTTATTACAAAGATATAAATTAGGGCAATCAAATGAAGAGACCCATAGGGCAATATTTGGGAGGGTCTCAAATACAAGGCTCTCTGCCTTCAGTTCATGTCTTCCTCCTGATGTATATCACCCACCTGAGAAGCTCACCAGAGCAGTTTTTATTTGGGCTTCATTATTTACACATGGTTGACTGAATTAATTGTCCATGTGATTAAACTCAGTACCCATTCTGCTTTCTCTTCCTGGCAATCAGGAGGCCAGGCTGGTATCACATGACTCTAAGCCCCAGTCTTAACAATAATGTGATTGATCTTTCCAGCATGGCTAGTTCCCATCCTCAAATTACCTAGAGGCCCACTAGCAGTTGTTGGTTAGCATAAAGGCAGTTTTGGTGTGAGGATCCACTACAAAGAACACAGATACACCTGTCACTCAGGTTATTCTAAGGATTTTAGAGGCTCCCTCCCAGGAACTAGGAACAAAGACCAGCCAAATTTTGCAGGTATAAGAGTCCTTATAAAAATACACAGTTGCCTAAATACTTCTCATTTTAATTTCCTTTAAGAAATAACAGCTCATTCAGAGGGAAAGAGATTTGCCTTGGAATGGTGGTGGTGATGGTGGTGGTGGTAGTGGTGGTGGTGGTGGTGGTGGTGGGGGCTAGGTTTAAATCTTCCATCTGCCTCTTGTTTAGTATATTATCTTAAGAGAAAAGATTCTTAAACTTTCTCTTTTCTCCTATAAAAATATTTAATTAGGGGCTGGGGTTGTGGCTCAGTGGTAGAGTGCTCACCAGCACTAAGAACCCTTAAACTCTGACTTTTTATGAGTCAGGAGTAGTTAATTACATTTTTTTAAATGCAAATATTTCACAATACTGAATTTTTAAAAAATACCTTTATTTATTTATTTATTTGTGTGTGTGTGTGTGTGTGTGTGTGGCTGAGGATCGAACCCAGGGCCTTCATGTGCTAGGTGAGCACTCTACTGCTGAGTTACAACCCCAGCCCTATTACATATTTGAATGTACCTGAAAGCTATAAAGCCAGTTTCATCAAAATTCCCTGTCAATTTTAAGTTAGAAGAATTGAAAAAAACAAAACAAAAAAAACCTTTGGCTTTCAATAGGAATGAGTATGAGGGACTCTAGATTAAATAAGAACTAAATTATTATTTTTTTAAACATTTTCTTTTAGTTGTAGATGGACACAATACCTTTATTTTATTTATTTATATGTGGTTCTGAGGATCAAACCCAATACCCCACGTGTGCTACGCAAGTGCTTGACCACTGAGCCACCATCTCAGCCCACACTAAATTATTGTTAAAAAGTATTTCTTACTGGGTAACAAATGGTGGTCTGATTCATGGTTACTCTGGTGGACATATGATTAGCATGTTTCAAGATTTATTTTTAGAAAGAGATCTCAGCCAAATTTGCCAAATTTTATTCTATTGTGTGCATGTGCTAATATGTAACAACAAATCCACCATTATATACTATTATAATGCACCAATAAAAATGGGGAAAAATGGAAAATGAGTCTCACTATATTGCATATGCTGATCTTGAGCTTGTGGATTCAAGAGGTCCTTCCCCCTCAGACACCTGAGTAATGGCTACTATAAGTGTTCACCACCATGCTTGGATAGGATTGATTTGTTTATACATTTTGTAATTTTAAAAAATAACCTTTTTCTTTGTATATCTAGGGATTTTGGCCATTGGTTTAATTAATGAAGCCCTGGATGAAGGTGATGCCCAAAAAACTCTGCAGGCCCTGCAAATTCCTGCAGCTAAACTTGAAGGAGTTCTTGCAGAAGTAGCCCAGCATTACCAAGATACACTGATTAGAGCAAAGAGAGAAAAGGCCCAGGTGAGCAGTGTTGGATTTATTCTTTTTGTTTAGAGCAGTTCATCCTTTGTAAAGATGGATGTCTCCTTGATGTATTTATTAACAATTTTCTGGTCCCCCATAGATTAAGAGCACTGGAGAGAGTGAACTATGAAAATTAGAGACTCCACTTTCCTGAAGTTCATGCTATTTTACATATTTGGGGTTTTGTTTTTGTTGTTAGTTGTAGACATTTCTCTTAGGGTAAATTCTTTATTGAAATATTGAAATATAAGATCCAGAAAATATAAGATCCAGAAAAATGTACAAACTATGTAAGTATTCAAGTTACATAAATTTTTAAAACTTAACATGTCTGTGTAATTGGTATACAGAGTATAGGAAGCATTACCAGCATCCCTCATATCTCCTTCATGTCCTCTGATGCCCTGTCCATTCTGTCATTTGGTGGTAACCACTATCCTGATTTTTAACACCATAGCTCATTTTTGCCCATTTTTAAACTATATTTAAATTGAACCATACACTATGTATTCTTTTGGTATTGAGCTTCTGTTGCCCAACATGTTAGTGATGTTCATCTGTGTGGTCACATGTAATAATAGTTTATTCATTCTCATTGTTTTGTACTATCCTATTGTACAATGATGTATTCTATTATTGGTGAAATTTTGTTTTGTTTTTTTTTTTCCCCTATTACTGGGGATTGAACCTATGGATGCTCTACCACTGAGCGCTCTCTCCAGCCGTTTTATTTATTTATTTTATGATTTTATTTTTTGATACTAGAAATGGAACCCAGGGGTGCTTTACCATTGACTGCATCCTTAATCCTTTTTATTTTGAAACAGAGTCTTGCTGAATTGTCCAGGCTGGCCTTGAACTTGTGATCCTCCTCTGCCTCAGCCTTCTGAATTGCTGGGATTACAGGCATGTGTGAACATGCCTGACACTTTTTTTAGACAGGGTGTCCCTAAGTTGTGGAGGCTGGCCTCAAACTTTCATCATCCTGAAAAGGAACCAAATCATGCTATTTATGTTCCTTTGTGACTAGCTGCTCTCCCCCGCCATCTGTTATGGGAATTGAACTCAGGGCTATTCTTTTCAATCAGGCCCTTTTTTCAATTATGAAACAGGGTCTTACTAAGTTGCCCAGGCTGGCCTTGAACTTGCCATCCTCTTTCCTCAATCTCCCAAAAAGCTAGGTTTACAGGCATGCATCACTGTGTCTTGTGTGACTAGCTTCTTAGATGTAGCTTGATTTATTCAACCGTAATATGTATCAGTACTTCTTTTTTTTTTTTTACTACTGAATAATATTCTGTTGCAGATATTTTATTTTTTCATTGATAAGTCAATGGCTGTATAGGATATTTCTACTTTATTTCTATTAGGAATAATGCTGCTATAAAAGTGCTTTTAAAATTAATTGTATAAACCCATCTTTTAAAAAGTTTATTGGTTGTGGTTCCTAGCTAGTTTGTTGGGGAAACTGAAAATAATTTATACTTCTTTTTATGCTGTTGTTGTCTAGGAAGTTGCCTTGTATGTAGTAGGCCTCATGTATTAGTTGCATGATTAAAACATAATTACATCTATTTTTCTAATTGTGATCTTTTAAGTTCTTTCTAAGTAATAACAGCTAAATAGGAAGAACCATGGCTTCCTTTTCTGACTTAGAAAATCCCTCAAGTGATATTCTTAGAGGGACTTGAAAAGCTAAAAGGAAATTTTAATTGAAGGAGTCGGATTCTTTCTGGGAAGTCAGAGAAAAAAAAAAATAGCTGAAGGCTCTAGTGTATGGGAGGAGTCGCTTATAAACTGACACCATGCAGGCACTATAAATTTGGATTGGAGTGAAGGAGTTGTGGGTAATATTATAGTGTTAACTGATCTCCTTTGATTCCCTTGCCATGAGAGTAGTTGACAGTTTACATGTCCTAATCATGTGAGTGTAGTGGTTGTAGGTTTTCTTTAAAAGGCACATTATTATGCAGAATGTCACCTGATCCCATGCAGAGGATTGAATCAACTCCTATTGCACAGGCAAGAAATGGAGACTAGGGGATCATCTGATTTCATTTATTTGAGTAAGAAGGAGTTGGCTTTGGAAAAGCTAGAATCTGAGGTCTCAATCTTTCATTTATTCATTGAACTTGGCTAATCATCAGAAAAGTAATTTAAAAATACATATTTCTAAATTTTAATTCTACTGATTTAGAATATCAGCTGTGGAGCCTAGCTGCAATGATTCTGTATAGTTTGGAGATAATAGTGTTTGCTTTCAGGAATATCCAAAGGAGCCTTATATCGATGGGACTGTCAGAAGAGTGGAATTTGGGAGAATATACTAGGTTGAGTTCCATATCTAAAGAGGAAAGTAGATAGTACAGAATGTGCATAGTCCTCACTCATGTTGTAAGGCTGTTTGCTCTTTTTTAAATGGTATTGAGGATTGAACCCAGGGATTCTCTACCACCAAACTATGTCCTCAACCCTTTTTATTTTTTATTTTTGGGTCTCCTTAAGTTGCCAAGACTGGCTTCAAACTTAACAATCTTCTTGCCTCAGCCCCTCAAAGTAGCCTGGGATTACAGGTCTGCTTCACTTTGCCTGGCTCTGTCTACTCCTTTTGTTTGCATCATGGGAGTTAAACTTTAAGAGGATGTGAGTGGAGTTTGAAGCATTTCCTTTTGCTGTGGAATAACTTTTCAGAGTTCATCAAAGTGGAGGAAGGGTAGAGTTGAAGAAAAATTTGCTTAACTTTGTCAGGTCCCAGCTTCATTAACTACACTATAGGTGGAATTGTCTTTTTGAAGCTTCAGGATTTTTTTTTAATATTTATTTTTTAGTTATAGGTGGACACAATATCTTTATTTTATTATTATTATTATTATTTTTATGTGGTGCTGAGGATTGAACCCAGGGCCTCATGCATGCTAGGCGAGCGCTCTACCTCTAAGCCACAACTCCAGCCCTGAAGCTTCAGTTTTTCTTCCAAGTTTCTATGAGTCATTTTGGGAATGGTTTTAAAAGTAAATATCACTGCATTCCAAATTTTGTAAGCAAAATACCTTCATTTGTTTTCTTGTAGTATCTTTGTGTATACTCTTGGTATGGACTAATACTGGTCTTATAGAGTGATTTGGAAATCATCCTATAAGGAATTATTTCCTTATAGAAAGAGTTTGGAAGTATTTCTAAAGGTTTGGTTAATTGTTCTTTAAACATTTGATAGAATTCACCAGGAAAGCCATATGACCCTGGGGTTGTAGGGGTTTTTTTTGGTGGTGATGGGTGGGGTTTGATTATGAATTCTGCTTCTATGCTTGACATCAGTCCATTTACATTATCTGGAAGTATTCTTTCTGCCCCTTTTTCTTCTTATCTTCAGGGAATCTCATCGCGTGCACCTCAACATAATGGTGGCCAGATCTCAGGCTTTGTCCATTATTCTTTATTATTTTTTTTGCTGATTCTCAGATCATCTCGATTGACCTATTTCAAGTTTTCTTCTTCTTCTTCTTCTTCTTCTTCTTCTTCTTCTTCTTCTTCTTCTTCTTCCTCTTCCTCTTCCTCTTCCTCTTCCTCCTCTTCTTCCTCTTCTTCCTCTTTCTCCTCCTCCTCTTCCTCCTCCTCTTCTTCTTCTTCTTCTTAGTTGTATATGAACACAATACCTTTGTTTTATTTGTTTATTTTTTTTAATGTGGTGTGAGGATTGAATCCAGTGTCTCACACATGCCAGGCAAGCGTGCTACCACTGAGCTACAACCCCAGTCCAAGTTTGCTAATTTTTTTCTTTCACTTGTTCAAATCTATTTTGACCCTCTCTAGTGAATTTTTCTTTCAGCTATTGTACTTTTCAATTCCAGAATTTCAGTTTTAGTGTAGTTTGATTTCTCTTGGTGAGACATACTTTTCTTTAATTCTCTAGACATGATTTCCTTTAGTTCTCTAACATACTTAAAATAGCTGAATTAAGCCTTTGTAAGTCTAATTTTGGGCTTCCTTAAGGATGCTTTCCCTTTGTTTGTGTTTTTGGAAACTAGACAATTTATTAATCAAATGTGGCAACCCTGGAAATCAAATTTCACTCCTTCTTGAGGGTTTGTTCAGTGACTTTTCTGACTTTTCTGAATTCTGTAAGGCATATTCTTATCATGGGTCCCCTGATGTCAGCTAGGTTAGCTAGTGGTGAACTAATGTTAAATCATTTCCTTCAATCCCAAAGCCAATAAGGCTTCCAGCTCTTGCAGGGGGGCGCTGTGCACATGTTGGAGCACAACTTCAACACTTAAACCAGTTTGTAATTCTGTCTTAACCTTCACTTCATATTGCCCAGATGCTCAAGGTCAGCCCAAGGTGAGACTTGTAGCTTTATCATATCTTCTCTGAGTATGTACAAATCCCACAAATTCACTGTGACCTTCTAGATTCCCATCCCAGGAAAATGTCACATTTTTAAAGTTCTCCCTGGATATCTTATTCTCAAGCTTTTCCTTCTAAGCTTTTTGGTTAGTCTATGTTTGCCCAAACTCTTATCCATTGCTGCAGGTCTCCATGATGCCCCAGGAGGAAAGTCTGTCTGCACAGTTAGTTAGGTCAAATAAGGACAGACAGGCAAGTGTGATCCTCCAGGGAACCATCAAACAGGCCAATTAATGACAGTTCTCTGGGGGGGCTTTGAAGTCAGGGTGGGGACAGGTGGGAATATGACAGTTAAAAGCTCGCCACTAAAAGCTGAATATTCTTACCAAGATTTACTATTTTGAGTTAGCCCTCCCAAAGCTGCAAGCCTTTGATTAATCACCGTTGTTTTTTAAAAAAAATTGATTCTATTTTCCTCTCCTTGTATTTGTTCCTTTTATACCTCTTTCTCTAAACTTCCACTATGCAGCAACTAACGGATTAATATCTAAACAGCAGGAACCAAAAGGGCTATGCTCTATTCTGATTGTTTATGGTGTGTAGTTGATAAATGTTCAGTAGAGTCACATGTGTTAATGTGTATATGTTATGTCCAGGTCTGTGGCTATGTAAATGTGTATATGTAATATTTTGACTATCACACACATAAACTATGTCACATAATAAAAGAGAGTGTTTAAAGAAAGTTTTAAGGGGTAAGAAGTACCCCATAGGGTTGTATGTATATATACATAAAATAGCCATTCTTTTACCCTTCTCTTTTCCTTTCCCCATGTTTTCTGGCTCTCTTACCACTTTTTCTTCCCGATAGTACTGGGGATCGAACCCAGGGGCACTCTACCACTGAACTATGTGTCCAACCTCGCCTTTAAAAAAAAATTGACATAGAATTTTGCTAAGTTGTTCAGGTTGGCCTTGAACTTAACCATCCTCCTGCCTCAGCCTCTCAAATAGCGTGAGATTACAGGTGTGTGCCACCATGCTTGGCTCCTTTCCCTCTTTCACCTCCAGTTATTGCTCACTCCTTTTTAAAAATTCTTATTTTTGGTCCTTATCCACCCCCACCCCCAAAGGTACAAACTTTTTTTTTTAAATGCCTTTATTTATTTACTTTTATGTGGTGCTGAGGATCGAACCCAGTGCCTCATAAGTGCTAGGCAAGTGCTCTACCATTGAGTCACAACCCCACCCCCTGGTCCTTATCTCTTTACCTCTTTTGACATGTAATCATGTTCCTAAGTGCCTATCAGAGTTGTTAGGGGGCTGTACTTTATTTTGAATAGCATTTTCACATTAAATCTTTTTTGTCTCAGTATTCTCTGTGATACCTAGCTCAGGGTTTTAATGCCATCCTCAGTGATTGAGTTAATCTTGGATTATCTCTTTAGAACAAACTTCACTGATCGTGAGTTTTATGATCTTATTTGATCTTATTCAATGTACTTGGAGCAATAAGAACCTGCCCTTCCTTTACACTGGGATGAGGTGAAATATGCTGTCTTTCTTCTCTTCAGTCTGCTGAAAGGTATTTCTCTAACATGTTTCCTGATCATACTTGAGATACTAATCCATTCTCTTTTTCTTGCTTTTGATAGTGTCACTCCATTGCTTCTTTCTTAGAGGAATATGTATGGAAGATTTACCTTAATCACTTTACTTTAGTTTGCATGGGGCAGGGAAGACAGAATTCCAAATGGCTAGAATTCTTCCAAAGCGCTGCCTTCCTCTCCCTGCAAGGGAGGGAAAGAGTTTTGCTTATAGCACATTCTATTCAAGGATAATCACTATGGGATCAGGCAAAAAGTGAACCAAAGTGTCTTGATTCTGTGGAAATGCCTCTGTGTGTGTGTGTGTGTGTGTGTGTGTGTGTGTGTGTGTGTGTGTTTAATGCAAGTGTTTTTAGGCTGCTTCCCTTGGAGACTGGACGTTTAGCCTGTTGCTTATGACTTCTCAATTTGCAGTTTCACAAGCCTGTTCCTGACTCATCGTAGTTTCACATTGGATCTATTGTTTCACATTTCCAGCACTTACTTTTAAGACTCTAGGGGATTGTGTGTGGTCATTTTCTATTTTCAGTAACAGAAGGTGGCTAGTGGGTAGGAGAGTCTAGTAGCTATTCAGTGATTTTTTTTTTCTTTCTCTTTATCAGTTTACTCTTTTTCCTTTCTCAAGACTATGAACTTTCTAAAATTGGGACTGGGCTGCCACCCACATAATTTGGTTAAATGATCTTCTCTGTAACTTTGGGATTTTTGTTTGTTTTTGTTTTTTGTGGTGCTCGAACCTAGGGCTTTGTGCATACTAAACAAGTGCTCTACCACTGAGCCACATTTCTAGCCCCATGATCTTTCTTTCTAAAACTCCATATTTGAGAAATATCAATGCTCTCAATTTCACATTTGGTGGGGTGTGGGTTACCCTTTCAGCAACAGTCTTTATAGATTTCAGGGATATGGCTGTTCTGCTCTGCTGAGTGAAATGTTGTGTTACTCTCTACAATAAGACAGGAAGAAAGCCAGTCTCCTCTAACATTTTGTGGCTTCAGCTTTTGGGTAGTGCAGTTTTCCACTTTACCCCAAAGCCCAGACACTGCCTCATCTAGCCACACAGTCAAGATTATTGACTAAGTTCTTTATTCTGCCTCACTGGTGCCTTGGCAAACTATATTCACATCAAGTAATTTCACTGGTTGTTTGAACTACTGTTTATCCCAATTGCTATTAGCACAATCCTCAAGAGCATGGTAATTTTGTTAGGCCTGCCAAGATCACCATAAATGTGCGTCTCACAACCTGGCCATTTAAAAACCTGAGGTGTCTTGCCCATTCTGAAGAAGGCTGCCACATTCATCTGATGAATTGATGCTCTGTATAAAGATTTTAGAGACATCTTATAAAACAAAGAACTCTCACTCTTTTGGAACAGGTATCTTATATAACTATAAGTCCAACCATTGAAATCTAAGTAGGTGTCAGAGGTGGTTTCCAATTCTGACTCTCACACTGAGAATAGGTAGACAATAGAATATCTATTGTGCTAACTAATAGTAACAGAAGTACTACCTACTACTTTACTAAATCGCACTTTGTTAGCCAGATTTGTGAAAATTGGCAGGTATTAGAACAAGATATTTCTGGTAATCCAGTGCCTTTCATGATCACTAGTAGCCTATTTAAAAAAATATACCCATAACACATTGTCTGTGAGCTGAGGACTAGGCACAACACTTGCCTAGCATGCACAAAGCCTTGGGTTTGATACACAGCACCATATACATACGAAAAAAGAAAGAAAGGTCTAAAGCTATATTTAGAAAGACAGAAGTAAGTCATTTCTATGACATCACCTCTGTTCCCAGTAGTCAACTCAAACTACATTGTGGGGTAATGAGCTTTTGTTGAGCATATTAAGGAAACTAATCATCATTTATTGGTGTGTTTCTCTGAAAATGTGTTTTTAATTTCCCAAGAACTGATTTAACATGAAAATGTTAGAATATAATCTGGTGATAAGTTTAGATTGCCTGTAGTAATTTATTTCTTTAAATGTAGTAATTTAAAAAGTTCTGTTTAAATTAAGACTTGACAGGCATTGGTAATCACAGAGAATATTAACTTCCTCTGAATATTTTAAACAAAGGAGACTTTCTAAAGAAAGTACTACATATTCATATACTTGCTTTGGTCTTTGTCAAAGTCCCTGGGTCCCTTCCCAGTTTCTCTGCTCATTTGCACCTTCTAGCTGCTCTTGACTTCTTCAACCACATGAGTTCATTATTTATTTATTTGTAGTTTTAGATGGACAGCATATTATTTTTTTATTTTTATGTGGTGCTAAGGATGGAACCCAGTGCCTCACAAGTGCTTTGCCACTGAGCTTCAGCCCCGTGCATTTCTGTCCTCCATTACATCTGAGCCATTGCCCCTTAAAACCTTTATCAGTTTTTTGATGCCTGTCTTCTTCCATCTAACTCATATATTTGGAACTTCTTCCTCCATATCTAATTGAGTCTCAGAAGCCCCCCTCATCACTTGTACATTGGTTTCATGATTGCTTTTAATGATTTGTAGGAAACCCAGGATGAGTCAGCTGTGTTATGGTTGGATGAAATTCAAGGTGGAATTTGGCAGTCCAACAAAGACACCCAAGAAGCACAGAAGTGTATGTATCAGCTATTTTATTTCTGTTTTTTGTGGAGGGTATGAGTGGTGAGGTATTCCATATCTCCATGTTCAGCTTGACCAAAATAGATATGGGGGCAGTAGTTGGCCAGTAGGTATTATTAGGTGAACTAGTGTTTGAACTCAAACAGTTTCAGGTTATTAACAATTCTTTTCTGGGATAGTTGCCTTAGGAATCTTTGCCATTAATGAGGCAGTAGAAAGTGGTGATGTTGGCAAAACACTGAGTGCCCTTCGTTCCCCTGATGTTGGCTTGTATGGAGTCATCCCTGAGTGTGGTGAAACTTACAAGAGTGACCTTGCCGAAGTCAAGAAGAAAAAACTGTCAGCAGGTGCGTTATGGAAAAGTGCATATGTGCCTAAAGCTAAGAACTTCAGTATGTGAGGAGACAGATGTAGAAGAAGGGAACAATCTTATGGAAAGATGTTTTAATGTAGAAGTACAGTGTTTAGGCTCATTTTATTATGTATTTGTTTATTTTTGCAGCAGTGTGGATTGAACCCAGTGAGCTACATCTCCACCCCTTTATATTTACTTTGAGATAGGGTCTCGATAAGTTACCCAGGCTAGCCTTGAACTTGAAATTCTCCTGAGTCACTGGGATAACAGGTGTGCATCACTACACCTGATTAGTCTTACTTTAGAGCAAATATTATCCCAATTTTTGAAAATACTCTTTCTTTTCCTTGCAAATTAGCTGTTAGCTATTTTTATGAGAATGTGGAAAGGATTTTTGACCATTTATCTATTATAGGATTTCAATACCTCTGGTTATCTTTAACTTATAGGCAGTTAAAAATAGTGTATCTGAAAACAAAAATAAGACAATTTTATGGCCCTTTGTTTCTTAACTGGATATGTTGAATGGCTGCAAATTTTTTTTGTACTGCAGATTGAACCCAGGACTGCTTTACCACAGAGCTGCATCCCCAGCCATTTTATTTTTTAATTTTGAGACAGAGTCTTGCTAAGTTGCTAAGGCTGGCCTTGAACTTTTGATCCTCCTGCCTTGGGCTTTCAAGTTGTTGGGATTATAGCATGTGCTACCACACTTGGCATTTGCAAATCTTTTTATCAGAACAGTTTTCCAGCACACAGGCCTTAGACATAGACATTGGAAAGGACAGCCAATCATGGTTAGTTTCATAATTTGACTTCATAGGTATTTTCTTTTTACAATACAGATCTGAATAAACTAAATTAGATATTATATAACCATTATTTAATGTAGTCTTAGAATGAACCTTTACTTGCAAAGATCCAAGAAGCTAGTTTTGGGAATGGTTTTCATTCAGATTGTTAAAACCTGACTAGAATAACCCTAAAGTATTAGACATATAAATGTGGGGTGTGTGTGTGTGTGTGTGTGTGTGTGTGTGTGTGTGTGTGTCTATGGATTTCTTTTATCTTTCCTTTATTATTATTTTTTTAAAATTTTTAGTTGTAGATGGACACAATACTTTGTTAATTAATTTTTTTTTTAATGTGGTGCTTCTGATCGAACCCAGTGCCTCATTTGTGCTATGCAAGCGCTGTATTACTGAGCCACAACCCCACTCCTTATCTTTCCTTTATTTTCTGCCAGGAGATAATAATAGCAAGTGGGTGAAGCATTGGGTAAAAGGCGGATATTATTATTACCACAATCTGGAGACCCGGGAAGGAGGATGGGATGAACCCTCAGACTTTGTGCAAAATTCTGTGCAGCTTTCTCGGGAAGAGATCCAGGTAAGTTACATTTCTTCATTTGAGAAGGGTCTGAGAGAAGGGGTTTAGAACTAATATTAGTTAAGGGGAGGAGGACATGTGGTCAGAAGTCTTAGACTAAATTTCAGCTATATAATGTT